AGCATCGCACAGGATACAAGGAAAAAAAGATGACATGTCATCAAAATCCGGGCCCTGATTATAACACTTGTTTTGCTTCAAGACACCCGGGGGCACGCGCTGAATAATTCTTTCAGTGAGAAACAAGTTGGAGTATGATAACATCCGGCGGCCCTCACAAGCAGCCCAGGGAGAGGAACAGATCCCTGGGTCCCTATATAAGTCGAATATTTTATCCGGAACGTACATTCGTCAAGGTTTCCGCAGCCTTCACTGTCAACCGGGACTGCCGACATGTTCGTGAGTAACTGCACTGGTATTCTGTCTGGGCTTATGGGTTGTCTTCTAGGTGGTCACCGACGTTTCGGAGGAAAATATTGTACGTCCATACCAATATTTCGCATCAACTTACGTTCTCCATCTTCTGTGACACCGTGTAGGCCGGTAGGTGGTGATGGATGTTTCGAGGGAAATTATTGCCTCCATCTTCAATAATATCGTGTAGTCTTATAGGTGTTTACCGGTTTTCCGATCAAGAATATTGTATCCACCTTCAATAACACCGAGTAATCTGGTTGGTGATCACCAACGTTTCGGAGGAAAATCCTGTGTCCATATTCAATAACTTCGTGTAATTTTGTAGACGGTAAACGCTTCGGAGGATTATCATGCTTCCATCTGCTGTGACAACATATACTTTGGTAGATAGTTACCGATGTTTCGGGGGAAATTATTGAGTCCATGTTCATTAACTCCGCTCAATATTTTAGGTGGTTACAGAGTTCCCTATGGAGAATAATGCGTCCATCTTTAATAACAACGTATAATCTAGTAGGTGGTTAGAGACGTTTCGGGAGAATAAGTATTGGCTCCATTTTCTGCACAACTTATAGTCTGATAGGCGTATGCAAAATTTTCTTATTACCACAGTGACTCCATATTCTCTAGAGCCGTGTATCCTTGTAAGGCGGCCCATACACGTACGAGTTTGGCTCGGCGAGGAGCCGGGCTCGGATTAATTTCACTACACACTTATGAGCGTGGCGACCCACACACGGACGAGTTTGGCTCATTGGAACCCGAGCCGAGTCGGACTCGCGAGCCAGACTCGTACGTGTATGGGCCCCCTAAGAGGTTACCGAGGTTTCGGAGGAATATATTGCCTCCATTTTCATCTACACTGATGATGATAACTCACAAATTACACACAGCAATGTCTTTTTTTAATAATTGAACTACCGAAGCTGTGAATGTCCAGATTATGTAGCGTCTAATGGCAGGGTGACAGGTGAACTTGAAGGATTTGGAAGGAAACAATCGTAGCTTATTGGAGATAGCGACTGTCCCGATAAGTTTCGAACCGAGTATCTCCCGACTGAAAGTCTGGAGCACTACAGCTATAGCAGCAGCCAGCTGAGCACAAGGTAACACAGCCCAGAGGCCCACAATACGGATGGCTACTGCTATAGCAGCCAGGTAACACAGCCCAGAGGCCCACAACACGGATGGCTACTGCTATAGCAGCCACGTAACAGCCCAGACGCCCACAACACGGATCTCTACAGTCGCGAGAACTTGAAATCTCATCCAAGAAAAAAGAGAATTCGATATCGACAGAAAATCGTAAAAGAATTCTTTAAATAATTAATAAAAATAATATATACAGCCAATCTTCTGGACGAGATTATTTAATTAATACACCTAAAATATCTTTATGGTTGCGTCATCATATGGTGACGTAAGTTGTCGCGTCGTCAACAGAAATTTACTAGATTCTGTTTTCAACGTAAGATGAAAACCAAACTCGTCATACAGGGGAGTGAGGGGTCGAGATGGTGAGAGGAAGAGGGGGTGACGATAGAAAATGTGCCTAAAATCTTACTATATATATATACACCGATCACCCTACAGGATTTAATATATAAACAATATTTTCTAATTTATATTGTAGCATCCTGTTGCACTTTTCACTTAGTGTCAACTAGTTACAGTCTCACGTGCAACGCTGTGTCCTGTAAAATTTATTAACTCTAAAAGTTTTAACAAGACATGCGGCAAAAAAAAAACCAGCATGAGAGAGAACAACCCACCAACGCTTACACACATGCATTTAACATTAGCAACAACAGAAGAAAGCAGCTTCCTCACCAAAGATATTAACATCTGATGATGACCACATTGGCAGTAACTTGTAGTGATGGACTTTTAAACTTTTAAAATTAGTAAACTTTACAGGACATGGGGTTGCATGCGAGACTGTAAATAACTGACATTAAAATATCTTCTCTTACAGACCGTTTCAAATTCTGGTGTTAATAATTGACATGTTTTATTCTGTTTTGTAATCTTGATATCTTTCTCCAGAAGTCCGGGGAGAGGTGGGAGAGACATGCGTGGTCTGCTCCCCCTCCCAGTATCCATGGTTACTGCCCTTCCACAATGCTTCAGCTTTGCAACATTTTCGAAGGCTCTCGTTGCTATTTTTATATCGTCACGTCGCCCTGCATTATGAGGACGCGATGTGAACTTAAATTTCTCTGCGTTTAATTGTATGTCAGCCCCACTCCCTGCATCCTTTTATAGCTTCCGTCTTTTCTTTATGGTACAGCATTTGTTTTCGTCTAAATGATAATTTTATTGCCACAGACCACAAGTTGATATATCCAGCTCAATTCCAACCGCTATAGTATCCTTGGAACTTACTAACGTCGTTAAAAAGCAATAAGGTTAAAGCATCTCCTTGTTTCAGACCACTGTGAATACGAAATATAAAACAAAATTATTGTATATTTCTGTCTGTGGGTCATTTAACGATGCCTTGAGTGGGTAGAATATACAGAGAGGATTGGATACATTAATCGTGAATTGTAAGAGATTCGGAAGGAAACAGTTATAGCGTATTCGAGGCAATATCCCAGAATTTAGATGAAGGGACTAAAAGAAACCACGAAAAGTTTAATCACTCAGTAATTGTAGCCATATTCCGGCCTAAATTCGAAATAAGAACCTCCCGGATACGAGTCAAGGGAACTACTGCTACACCAACCCCCTTGGGGTGACGCTGTAGAGATGTTTCTCTCAAAGTTGGTAACCGATCTATCAGACTGTATGGCGTCACATTCCGGACGGTAGTAATCTGCGTATTTGCTAGCTAGTTTTGAGATGTTTTCTATTTGGCCCTCCCGTAAGTTTCGTAACAGAGCCGATATGTGAAGCAAGGTTACAGCTGTAGATGTTTTTCTCTTTACTCTGTGGAAAGTACCAGAAACAATAATGCATTCCGAATATCAACAACTGTCACGATAATATCCTCCTTCATCGATATTATGAAACATTTTACTATCCTTACATGGTCATACAGCTATGTCTTGAGCTCTTTGAAGCACACTGGTAACAACACGAACCACTAGATTTAGCGTACAAATAAAACGCCTCATTCTGCTCACACAGTGTATCTGTGTGTTCCGTATGGTTCTCACAATAAACAGCGACTGTTTCCCTAAACAGCATTAACCGGTTGGGCTTTGTAGCGGAGACGTAATGTGTTTCCTGTGAGGTACGAACTAAACTGCTATATATTCTGCCCACACAGTGTATCTGTGTGTTCCGCATGGTTCTCACAGTAAACAGCGACTGTTTCCCTAAACAGCATTAACTGGTTGGGCTTTGTAGCGGAGACGTAATGTGTTTCCTGTGAGGTACGAACTAAACTGCTATATATTCTGCCCACACAGTGTATCTGTGTGTTCCGCATGGTTCTCACAGTAAACAGCGACTGTTTCCCTAAACAGCATTAACTGGTTGGGCTCTGTAGCGGAGACGTAATGTGTTTCCTGTGAGGTACGAACTAAACTGCTATATATTCTGCCCACAGATTGTATTTGTGTGTTCCATATGATTTTCACAATAAACAGCATTAACCGGTTGCGCTTTGTAGCGGAGGCGTACTGTGTTTCCTGTGATGTACGGGCTGAATTCTTAAATATCACTTAGACAAATTCCAGGCTCCGAAAGGGGACAGGAAAATATATTTGCATAAACAATGAACAAGGGAGAGAGATAGAAAAGACAAATATATAAATAAATCAAATTGAAAGAAGACAATTTGTACATTTAAACTCATTAACATACTTGATGCGATTTAATGTAATGAAAGAAAGTACAATGACACACATAATTAAAGAACATTACTCGCGTCTTCGGCCTCACATGAAACCAGAGGAAGGTATTCACGTTAGACCCAGTATTGATGCTTCATGGCAGCTGTACTGACAACTGCAGACAACTCCTGTTGCCTTGTCTCTCTAGCTTGAAAGGCTTAAATGTGCCTTAACGGAATGGATTGGATTTGTCTGGCTCAGGATAGGGTCCAGCGACGGGTTCTTGTGGACATGGTAATGAAGTTTTGGATTTCGTAAATTGAGTGCAAATTTCTTATTTGCTAAGCGACTAGCAGGTTATACAAATGGACGCTACTCCTTGGAGTCAATAAGTAAATTGATTAGTTTGTTAATTAGTACAATCATATATTTCTGTGCAAATACATCAAAGGGCGGGGTAGGCAATATTTGTATATACTGTCTGTCTAAAATATTTCTGATGGCACGTCATATCTTGAGTAGGCAACTTTACGAAAGAAAAGTCCCTGTGTGTACAACGAAAATTTCGGTACGGGAATTTTGGTTCTCACCGTGTGTTGAAAATAACGTCTGCTGTTTTTTTTTTCTTTTGCGCCATCGTCAGAATCCTTTAGAATCTACATAGTGAGATATTTCTCTGTGACTTTGATGACGGCATCTCAAAGATGTTTCAGACACAATGTAGGAGAAAGTCAGGAAAGTGGTGGACAGAAGTGGTTGACATATACCATTCTGCTCTTCACTTCAGTACGAACTGAGCCTCTGTATACAAACAGCAATGCCAATAATCTTGCACAGTACACACGGCAAATGCTTCGCCTTCTCTTCGTTACATAATACTGTGTATTTAATCACCGCATCTTTAAAACTTTTTACTTTCAGATCGTCCTAGTGCTGATGACGTCAGCTGCGGCGTTTCCGCAGAACAGCCCTTCCCGTATTGAGGCGCAGGCCCCTCCCATCCCAATTGCATTCGCACCCCCCTATGTACCGGCCCCCATATACGGGGCACTTCCAGTCCCAGCTGAGCAATCTTCGTCTTCCATCCTTACTACTCAATCGCCAGCTCCTACACCCCCTGTACAACCTGAAGGGTCTCTTTCATCCCCAGCCCCTGTGCTCGATGACAGAGTTCCAATTCGACAGTCAGAAGGGATGACTGATGTCCCTGACAATTGGGTAGCCATCCCGAAGGGAAGCAACCAGATCGTGCTGGCCCCAGGGACGATTATCAGCCTCAGGGACAAGTGGGGACAATTCTCTCATGGGTAAGAAGCAAGACGAATGAACTGTCCAGTAATTTATTCATTTATTCGTTAAGGCTTTAAGGTTTATGGACGTAGACGACGTGGCGGCCTGATCACATGTTTACAAACATGCATTTAAACTGCTTAAGATTATTCACACTAATTTCCCTATGGTATTCAAAATTGAACTGTGATTTTTAAATACGTTCAATTTTTTTTTTTTTTTGTATTCAACTGTAATGCATTTCCTTCTATCCTATTTTAGTTTTTCGAAAAATCTAAAGGGGAACAAGTGCATGGCCCCAACCTGTATCAGTGACCATGTTCAAAATATTGTCACGTGTATGGGGATACACGTGACGAAGAAAACGGGTTCTAGTTCGGATGATTGGATTTATCAGCACTTCGGTTAGAAGTTCTCTTAATTATCAATAATACAGCTCTGTCGCTGGTTTACACGCTTCACAGTTCACCGTTGCACACGCACTAGGGTTCTCAGTCTTCACTAGTCGTCTCCTGGCAACGGATATCAATAGAAACTAACACTTCAAATTACTATGAAGTCTTCTTGCTATTTCGTCTACAATCACTCTGGAACCTCGGAACTAAAATTCTCATGGACTCCCTCCTCCAGCTTACGGCTGACTCGCAACTCGTAACCGCACTGAGTCAGAGTCAGAGTCAGAGTCACGTTACCACTGACGGTCAGTCAGTCTGTCTGTCTTGGTGTCGAGCCCCAGCTGGGGCTCATGACCAGATATTTCTTTTGTATGAAAGTTACTGTCCTGTCCATGTGTAGCGCCCTCTCTGACGAGAGGTCGGGTCTGTCATTTGTTAGTCAGTCTGTAGTAATTTGTCCATTGTCTGTATTTACACATATTTGCAATACATACTTATATAAATGTACAATATTTACACGGCCTCCGTCAGTCCAGGCTAGGTACAGCAGATTATGCCCTTTTATATATATATAAATAAATATCCTAATAGTATTAGCTATCACGGCAGTCTAGTCACTTGAACCGGCGTATGCCTGACCGCCGCCAAGTTTAAGCCTCTTATACTTTCTGTGTCGGGTCCGCACTGAGCGAACTGTCACCTACTTATACAGCCGCGGAACGGACATGGACCTACAGTAAAAACATATCACGTGATCGCTATCCAGCCAGTCTATTGTCACGTCAGTCGGATCTACAGAAAACATCGCTTCCTCTATTGTTGCATGTTTGATTGTGTTTACAGTGCTGTTGCCTGGCAACGCGGTGTAACATTGTGTAATCTCAGAATTGTACCACCGTTTCCGAGCAACGTGCTACCTATATCTTCAGGGTGCATTCCTATGACACGTCAGTAAATTTCTACAAAAAATAGAGTATCATATCCCACTCTCATAACCAAATCTCAAGCACTTGATACGTTCTTAATTAAATGATGTTTTTCAATTTGACCTAGGTTCTCCGACAGGAGTGGAACAGCGGTCAGTGAACAGGGAATCCTAAACACCAATGACGACGCGGAGTCGGTGATAGTGAAGAGAGGCTTTTACTCCTACATAAGCCCAGAAGGAACACGCATAACTGTCAGCTACGTTGCGGACGAAAACGGCTTCAGTGCCAAGGGCGACCATATCCCATCTTAATAGCAACTGGTTATTGGAAGTGACGTCATTATGCTCACAATACCGTAATCGACAGTTCGTACGGAACACCGTGTACATAGGATTCAATACTATTTTGATAAAAGATGATTGGATGCTTCAAAGACAACGTATTGTATCTGTATTGTTCCGTTCTATGAAAAGGTAACATTTAAAAAGACATTCATTTCTCTCTACTGTGCGCTAGCCTCTTTGAAACACTGGCTCCTTAATCGAAATGGAAATTTTATCAGATTTAAAGTATTTTTTTCTAAGTAATTACAAGTTCCACAGAGATGAAACTGCTGATTTTATTTATACTGATCATTGATCTACAGGGTGATTCTAAATTATTGTCGGAGTCTTCGTGGTCTATAATTTTCAAAACGGAAATAAAAAAAATAAAACTGACTATGGAATAAGTTAAAAAAGTTCTATTATGCATAGAATTAATAATGAAGTTACACTTTCATATTCCGTAAGAAATTTTATTTCGCTGTTTCCGGTTTGAAAATTATAGTCCATAGAAACCCAGACAATAATTTAGAATCACATAATACTTCTAAATATATATCCAAAATAATGTATCTAAGTATCCTCCTGCATTAATGTATTTACTTGTATGCGGCCGAAACATGTAATGATAGAAAAGTAGGCCAAGACAACATGCTGCATTTGAGACGGAAAAATGTGTATGCACGTAATTAATTCAAATAATTATATTTATCAAATTCAGACGTATTTTTGAGATACTTTTAATTTTCACAAAATGAAATTTGGCTGGCATGTAAAAGAGGGTTCCCGTGTTAGCCCTTGTCCGCGTCCACTTCCCTTGCATTTGACTAACTTAGTATAAGTCCATGTCAAAAAATGTACATATACATCGGTTACCTAAACTATCCTAACCTAACCTGACCTATCACCAAAGGCAGTGCATTCCAAAACATATAATTACCCCAATCTTTGCCATTCTAACATTTCATTAAGTATCCCCTTTAAACTCATGTGTGTGTACAGAGAACAGTTAGGGGAGGGGTTCACTTTTTAAATTAGCAAACTTTTATTTCTTCATCAATATATCAAGGTTGAAAAAATATTAAATTTTTAGAATTATAATCAATTAATCTTCACTACGTAACCTTCCCAGAATAACCTGAGCACCCTCAAATCAACTAGAACCCACTAAGGGGGGGGGCGTTAGGATGCGCCATAGCTCAAGTGGTTAGTCGCTGGTTTCCCATCGCGGCGGCCCGGGTTCGATCCCGGGTCTGGTCAAGTGGGATTTGTGGTGGACAAAGTGGCGCTGGGGCAGGTTTTCTTTGAGTACTTCGGTTTCCCCTGCCAATCTTCATTCCACCAATTGCTCCACAATCACCCTCACCTATCATCTGGGGCTGGTACAATAGGCCAGAAGTGGCCGCAGTACAAGGGACTTAGTCCCACCCCACTGGCAATAAAAAAAGATAATGGGGGGGGGGGATTCCCCGTATTCTGATCCCTGCTCGTTTCTGAAGGCTCGTGTCTTCACTTACAATTCCTTGAACGACATATCATTAAACTTTTGAGAACTTAAATTCAATAGATAATAACATTTAAAAAATATTGTTCTTATATAATAACACTATAATTTTTCCTGTAGTTTTGTATGGATATCTTGATCTTTGCCATTATCATCGTGCTTAACTAATTAAGCATTACGCCATGAAGGCGTATGGGGAGTGGATGTATAAGTCCACATTTTCTTAACCTCGGCACTAGCTGGAGGTGAGTGGTCAGCTTCACGCCCCGGCAGCTTTACCACCAGAGAGACAACCTTCGGTACCACTATATAGGAGGCTGGGCGGGACCCATAGCAGGTCTTGGCATAATGCAAAAAAGAAAAAAATCTAGTCCCCGTCTGTCCTGCCCTTAGCCCTTTCACTTGTGGTCAGTGAACTATCCCGGCAACTACACGGGAAAGTGAGCGTATTTCTTCCCTCGGGACAGTCAGACTTGTGAAAGAATGAGGTCAGGTGACCTACTCAAAACTCTCAAAATTGTTTCACGTCACATTCATAAAGCGACCCCCATTCTGCCCCATCTGAAACTTGCTCTGGGAACGGTACAAACATAAACAAAGCTTTTTGCAATGACTGACTTTAACAGCAATCGGCTGGGAATTACTCCACAGCCTTCTATTTTGTTACTGCTAGTGGGGTGGGACTGAGACCCTTGTACTACGGCCACTTCTGGCCTATTGTACCAGCCCCAGATGATAAGTGAGGGTGATTGTGGAGCAATTGGTGGAATGAAGTTTGGCAGGGGAAACCGAAGTACTCGGAGAAAACCTACCCCAGCGCCACTTTGTCCACCACAAATCCCACTTTACCAGACCCGGGATCGAACCCGGACCGCCGCGGTGGGAAGCCAGCGACTAACCGCTTGAGCTATGGCTCGGCCACCACAGCCTTCTAAATGCACTTCGTGTGTACGTACGCAACACGAACAGATCACGCTGTACAAAAATGGGGGGGGGGGCATTTCCGCCTTCTTCATCAATCATCGTAAACACCGCGACCCTTGACCTTACTCAGACAAACGTATCGCAACCATCTGACCCCCTCTGACCCCATTCCTCAACCCTTCTGCACCTCTAACATGCGTTCCAGATACTGCAAGGGTGGTCCCCTAATGACGTCAAGCTACTGTACCTATATACTGCGAAAATGACTCAAGTTCATTTGAATCGATTTTTCTCTTGGGTCTTTGCACAGTTTATGTGTGCAATGTTGTCAAAGTTTCGGAAGTACATAATGCCTGCATCTTCAGGATCGAAAAGAGTACAGTGAGTATGTGTTCATGTATATAGGTTTTGGTCCAGTAGACCCATGGGGCAGAGGGTGCGGTTGTATCCTGTCGGGGCTAACTGGGACAGAATACGGGGAAATGATGTTGTCACCTGTATGAGTGACTATAGACGGGGTTCGGATTGGTAATTGAATTTACCGACCACTTACAGATCGTAACTACAAGTATCTATAACGCTCTCGCTAATGCATATACTCGCTTCTCATTAAGCTTTCTCAGTTTTTCACTAGCCGTTTCATGGTAATTGATCCCAACAATGTTCTCTGCTTACATCCTTACTGGCTGGCGAATGTCTCACAATTTGGAAAACTCTTAAACTTGTCCCGCTTATAACCCCTCAGTTCGGACCGTGTAGAAAACACTGCTCCTCACTGTTGTAGTTCAATCGTTGAATTCCGAATATGTTTTCGAAGCCATTACTCGGCAACGGCAGCCTTATATTTGCATATTCCTCGATCGTTTCCTAGCAGCAGGAGTTGTTTATAGTCATTATGTAGTAACGGCTAGACATGATACAACATTAAAAGGGTCCTCTTCAGTGCCATTGGCTCACCCCAAAATCAATTGCAAATAATGACCACAAGGGGTAACTCACTGCTCACTCATCCGCCGTTGATCTCTTGAACCAAACTTCGTGTAGGTACTTATGTACATTTTAACGGTAGATAAATTTTAAAAAGATGAATTTGTCCGTGCGCTTAAGTAATTGTGCAACACGCCTTGAAAACGCAATAATAGGAGGGAGCCCCCGGTACCCATTGGATAGGGCGCAGGCTGGGGGCCACAAATCTGTCTGGACGCTGTGGAGTAAAGAAAAATCACTTGCCTCTGCCGGGAATTGAAACCCGGCCGTCAAGCACGTATACATACACTATACATACTGAGCTATCCCGGCTCCATATTGCAATTGGTCACCCCAGTAACTTAAAAAATTACCGCCATGTTATTAGTGCAGCCAACTGTGCAGGTTTATTTGTGAAATCAACCCAAAACCTAACCTTAAGTGTTTTTTTTATATATTTACTTTTAAGAATAAATCCAAAACCCCAAAAAATCAATCCTCGTAACAGGTCATAGAGGCCCGTAGAGATGAGAGACGTCAAGGCTCCCACTTCTTCTAGACAATCGGCTCACAGGCGGCGGTGAGGTCAGCCTTACGCCCCGGCCCCCCTTTACCCCCCAGGAAAATTCCTGGCACCCATTTCTGTTAGAGGCTAAGTCGACCCCAGGGGCCATAGTGCGGCTGGAGGATCAGGTAAATTGAAAAATTCAATGTCCACATCGGGAATCGAACCCGCGACCTTCAGGCTTGAAGCAGAGTGCCTCAACCAACCACGCTACTGCGTACCCCCTTCCAAAAACTTAATCTTTTCTAGCAGATAAAAAAGTCCTAATACGTATCTGGGCCGGAAAGTAGAGATGCAAGTCCAGCAAAAATGCAAGGGAATTTTTTTTCCCGAGAAATGGCAGTGCTGCCGCGTGAGATGGGAAGCGCATTGCAGGGCAGAGTTCACCGGCCACAGTAACGGCAACACAAACACAGAATGAACGCACACACATACATTCATGCATTGAGTGGGATTCGAACCCAGTTCGCAGCGTTCGAGCGAGCGAAGACAGTTGATACCTTAAACGGCGCGGGCGGCCACTCTGACCGGCTGTATATCTATGGGGACAGGTTTTAAGCACGCGTAGATGTGGCAATGAACACGCTGATATTACGTCATCACTGTCAAACACAGATACCCTATAGAGCGCTGCATCACGGGAATTGTTCCTCGCTATGAGATATCCAAACAATGCTTATGACGTAAACGTCATTCCTCCAATTGTAACTTTCTACCGACGCAGTAGCTTATAAAATTCTTTCAATTCTATCATTAAGCATCTTTCTTGAGAGTGTTTATTTAACGACGCTGGCGATAACCCACATTATATAGCGTCAGATCGTACGATGATGCAGAATAGGAATTTTGAATTTTAAAGGGTTTGGGGTACCGGGGTGTGGGATATACCCCGGGGATAAAGAGACATGAGCATGAAACTGACAACTCATTTCTACCTTGTGCCGAGATTAGGAATGGTGGAGCTGTACATCAACTCCCCCATACGCCTTCATGGCATAGTGCTTAATTAAACACAGAGATAATTTTACCACTATTTTACAGTACAATCTTCCGGGGTGCGAGGCCGTGTTTTCCGGTAGTTCACCGACGTTTCGGGAGATGTTACGACCTATTGCTAGTTACTTCCTTTGCTTATTTTTCGATACTGAAGAAGAATAGAGTACTTTTCTCCGAAACGTCAGTAAATTTCTACCGGACTGCATGGCGTCACACTTCATAATCATCGCCGTGAGATACATTCACCTTTTCACTCGAGAATTAATAAGTGACAGGAAGATGGAGCTTCATAATTTATACTCCTCGCTAAACATTACGATGAACAAATCAAAGAGGATGAGATGGACGGGACATGTAGCAAGCGTAGAGATCATAAGATATAAAATACTTTAATCGCAGAACATATGGAACACATCATTGGGAGACCTAGAAGTAGATGGTAGGATAATATTAAATGGAATGTAACTGGACAGTCTTAGGATGTGGCTGGATTCATATGGCTCAGAATAAGGTCAAGTGGCGTTCTGTTGTGAACGCGGTAATGAACATTTGGGTTACGTAATTTCTTGACCAGTTCCTAACTCATGTTGGAAAGATTAAATCGATTCTGTTGATTATGTGTTTTGTTACATGTTCACTGATTGGGAAAACACCGAAATATATTACATACATTGCCAACCTTTGTTATGCTTGGTCTTGTTTCTTAGTTAAGCTGTTTCTACACG